TATATATATATATATATAGCCTATGTATATATGTATATATTCAGATTTTTCAGTTTCTTAAAAAGATACTTTTTTAACATGTAGGCTAGTTATTTATACAGATATTATAGGAATAATCCCAGTAGGCTTGGAAAGTGTGCTATGCAAAGTTTGTAGCTGCTCTTAACATCCACAGCAGAGATTATGCTGGAACAAGCTTGAAAGTGTCATTAAATGTTTTATTTTTCCATACAAATATATTGTTGTGAATTCAGTGTTTCAAGTGCGTTTCTTATCACAGCAGCACTGATCGATTCCTCAGAGTTCAGTATACCAGAGTGGAAAATAAATCAGTGACACATGATTTCCACCTTTATTAATTCAGAAAGTTACAAAACATATAAGATGAGTATATAGCTTTAATAATAATTGTCCTATAATGCTGCATCTACTGAACTGCTTTCACTAAAATAATAAGACATGCTTGAACAAATCATGAACATATAGAAGGAACAAACACATGCATTTTTAAGAATATTGTAAGTAGGACCACATTCAGTGTTACATATAATGTCCTGCTCAGTATTTCTTGTATGCTGTTGGCTGTGATCTTACAAAAATACATCTTATTTTTGTTGTTTTTTTCCAGGTAACATCCTCCAAACATTTTTAACATGGTCATCTGTCAGAATCAGTATCAGAAAACCTTTATTGTCCCTTGCAAGAAACAATGGAAATTCGTCTTTGACGTGCTCACAAATGTACATAGAATATAAACACAAGTTAAAACACAGTTTAAACATAGAACATCAATACAGAATAAATACAGTGAGGACATTAAAAGATTTCATTGTGAATTGTACAATCCTTCTATTTACAAAGTGAGCACCATGAATATTGGGTATACTCAATGGATAATAAAGAATAATCAGTAGTTGTATAAAAGGTTTTCACACATATTTTAAATCCTACATTGTTTGCATCCGTGTTTGTTGGTTTGAAGGCCTCTACCTCCTCGCCTTTGTTGCCTCATTTCCACATTTCTTGGTGTGTTACTGCCATCAACTGTCGTTCGGTGAAATAGCATTAAGTCAGTGGCAGGAATGTATAAATGCGTTGGCTTGCAGGATCGTGTCTACACAAGGACTCAAGCATTGAAAAATAAAATAAAATAAAATAAAATAGAATGCTCCATAGTGCTAATAGTGGTCAAAATCTACCTTTAATCTTATTTTGTTCTAGATAACACTGTGAGATATATGCACAGTTGGTAGAGAGCTATCTGTTCATTTTTTCTTCTTGAGTTTGTCCATGAGGTGAACAGTGATGACAGCAGACACCATGATGATCAGACCAACAGAGAACACCACTGTCTTCACCAGGCACACAGAGATACCAGGAGAGAGACTCTCTGAATCTGGAGAACAACAAAACAGGTGGTGACACAACAGATCCAGACTGTGACACTGCAGCACAACAGGAGTGGAAGGAATAATCAGTTATTCCTCTTTTGTGCTAATTAAATAAACAAGTTTCAGGGGCCGACCTATATGTTCTGTGCTTAATATTACAATGATGGAGACAAATGTCACATTCTGTGCCAAATACAGAAAAACTGATTTATTGAATTTTTATTGTCATTTGATATTCTTTCATTAATAACATTTCTGTACTTTCTAGTTTTGTTTGTATTCTCCCTCTACAGCCTGACAGGGTGGTTGAGTCAGATGCAGAACTTATTTATCAGACATTTTTGTCAAAAACTAACAAACAAAAAAGCAAAAACTAATGGACAAAGAAAAAGCTCATTTTCTTTAAGTTTAGCTTAACTCCAAACGATTTGTCTTTCAGTCTTACCAGCATGTCGAGGGCACAAATGTTCAATTATTTCTTTGTTCTCGGTCCAGCTGACCTGGTTGCTATGGTTACAGATGATTGAGCCATTCCGGTCCAGGTAGATCTGGAGAGAGGCACCAGAGGTTGTGACCTTTGATTGCTCTCCTCCCTCCTGACTGCAGGTCTGGGTGTCACATCTAAAAGTGCTGTTGATGTGAGAGTCCTGTGTTCTGCAGGTCACAGTGACGTTACAGGAGTTTGAGCTTCTGGACACAGAGTCCACTGTCAGGTCAACTGGAGACACTGGATCTGAGGAGGGGAAAGAGCAGATGGGAAGAGTTTTTGAAAAATGGCAGCAGAAACTATCAGTCTTAGAATGTTCACAAACCAACCTTGAATTGTGACGTTGTATTCAGCTACTTTTAGTTCTTGTGGAATCCTGAACAC